ACATTGGAATATAAAGAAATGATTACATCCTGGAATTGAGCCTGTCATACTAAGCAGCCAACTTAGACCATTGACAGGCCCAGAAAGCCCAATTTGCAGCATGCTCCATATCCCCATCGCCAATACGAGCCTGCACAGATGCTGGCAAACCTGAGCATTTTCCTGGAAGGGTTATTCAGCTTTAAGGCTTCAAGAAGACACTGTTTATCTACAAAATTATTTCTAGACATAAACAACAGAGAAGAAACAGGCAGAGTAATAGATAACAGCCCTCACAGCCCTAAGATGGCTTTTTTCATTAAGAGAGTCACCTTCCACTATTCTGCTAACAGAAAACCTAATTAAATACTGTCAGTGATTCAAAATCCATATAATCTCGAAAAGATAAATACATCACAATCTCTGAAAACAAGCAACGAACCTTTCACACTCACTTTTGAAAATATTGTTTGCACTTAAAAGTTTTTTAAAAATCTTGATCTATCAAAGAAAAAAAGGACAGTAAAAATTACTCTCCTATGGAGTTTCACACCCCCATCAAGTCAAAGTAAGGTCTTGTATGCAAGGAAAAAAAAAACAGCACTTGTGATCAACATAACCTTTCCATATTATTCTTTTCCCAACAACTACATTTAAAACAATGGCATAATCTTAAAATAGACTGAGAATAAGTTAATTTACTGTTAACTAGTAAATCTACATTAAAAAGTTCTAGCTTTTTTAAAAAACAGGGAATTTAGAACAGGTCTTCAGTGATTTCTCCTGTTACTAGTGGTCACCAATTTAAGTACACGAAAGAAATTTATTATTTGCCTGAATTTTTGGATAACTGAATAAAAACCCACCAACAGGTTATACTGTTTGAATGTCTTCACATATATGGTGTTAGAATAGAATAGTTCAAATGGAGTGGATCTACACTGATCATCTAATGCACCTACAATCTTAAGAGCCTTAAATATAAAAATAGAAACATCACAAAGTCAACACACTGCCAAACAAGAACTTGCTTCATCAAGTTTGGAAAAATTAGTTCAGTTTGGTTCCTCCTTTGGTCAGTCCTATGTGGCTTCCAGGAGTCCTAAACAGATTCAGACAAGTATCCAGAATAGCCTGCTCCTAAAATATAGTGGCTGTGGACAACTTCCAATACATGCAGCTCCTAAATATTGCTGTGACCCGGGAGAAAACTGCAAACTGGTTCAACTCACAAGAATACACTGCAATATTCAGCTTCTGATACTCATACACAAAGTAGTAGACATTACAAAATAAAAATTAAAAAGTTGATAATCACAGTAATTCCTGTTCCCTTTTAAAGCAATTTGAAGCACTTTTATCACCACTACTCTCCTGCAATATTTTAAGCCTGTAAGAGAAATATGACTAATCAAAACCAGTTTCGACAATCAAAAGTACTTTTTTGTGGAAAAGTAAAAGCACATTCTGTCAGGAAGATACTTATTTAAAAAAACATATAATTAGATAAACTGTTTTGGAACTGCAGCCTGTATTTTGGAAGCGATAGCCAAACTGATATGCCACCACCTCCCCTCATATGCTGAGTAAATAAATTTATTTTTCATTTGTAAAATTTTTTATTTGCTGTTTCATAAGTTTTCTAAAACTACAGTCAGAACTGACTTATATATGATTAATTCTTTGTTACCGTAATTTTAATCTAAAATAAAATTATTCTGGAGCAAACCTATTGAAACAAAAACAATTGCATCAGTTTTACAGCCTGGTTAATATATGCAGTCTTTATTTCAGCATGGCTCAGTAGAAATCACTTAGCAGATATTTAAATACATCTAAATAAGTGCTATTGTCACAGGAAAAAGAAAACAACTTACAAATATCTTTGACATGGGAAGACAGAATAACCACCATAGAAGTCTACATAAGAGAAATATGAGGGACATCTTTATTTATAGTTTCTGAAATGAAATGCCATGCCAAGTTTACTTTCTTAAGTTCATTTAAAAATCAAAATTTAACTAGAAAACAGCTAACCAGCAACAGAATTCAGGGAAAAAAAGGATTACATTTATTGATCAGTATTTCAGCTTGACTTCTCCTGTAATTTTCCCTGATCACTTCAGTAATATGAACAATATTCTGCAAAATGGATTAGGTTAAATTACATTTCATAAATTAAATAAGTTATTTGGACATTTTTGCAAGTATCTATTATAGCTGTGAACTGAACTATTCATTACATTGCTTATTACTCACAGCACGTAGATTCTACAGTATCATTTCTACCCAAAAAACCACATTTAATAAGTACAACATTGTGAAAAACTGAAGTAACTGCACTTCCCAACAAAAAATATAACTAACATCTGTTGCAGAAACTGCTTGGCACTTGCACAGTTTTGTGAAGAATTTTTGTTGTAGATAAATATTTTTCTACATTTCCTATTATGCACCACTCAACTCAGACATTTTCCTTAATTATACTCCAAGGAGTCCTTTCATATCCATTAAAGAAAGGCAATTTGTTGCCTAAAAAAATGCATACACATTTTTAAATTTCAACTGATTCATCTGTCTTCTAACACATGAAAAAAATCAAGAAAATACCCATAATTAATGGACTTAGTTCTGCAAAAATTTCTAATAAAACTCTCAATGCTCAACATATTACATTTGTTACATACTTTAATATGCTGGTTTTATGTGAGCAATGGTCTTGCAATTCATCATTTTACTTCTATTCCACATCTCAATAATGAGGAAAATAGCACAACAAAGCCTTTAGGAAAGCAAGAAATTACCATTTCAACATTGGTAAAAATTACTGAAGGCTTCTACTTTGTATACACAGGAAACACAGATCATTGTTTTTTCAGGGACAATGTAACAACTTTGTGACATTTCTCTCTCTCTTTTTTCTCCTTTTTTTCTTTTTCTTTTAATTTCACTTTCCACTACTCTTAATTAAAGAACTTCAAAATCACTGAGCTCTTGATACAATGTGTGTTTTTCCCTGAGAATATGCATGTACTGTGCACACTTAAGAAAACTGTTGTATTCTGCACACATTCTGTTGTACTCATACATTAGCAATCAAGACTTGTCTGCTAACATAATAAACCGTATGTTTGGGTTTTTTTTAGAGCATGCAGTAGAAACCCATTTAAATGCTATTGTAAGAATGAAGTGAAAATGAGAGTACTGCCAATAAAAGAAAAGAAACGTTAACTCGAAATACACAAAAAATTCAGTTCAGGCCCAAAAGTCCACCCACGTGGGCCCACCTGAAAAATAAGAGAGCTACAAATATAATTTGCTGTAAAGCAAACCAACTGGCATTGCATTCATTATTAATATGAAATTGGGCAAAGAATATTTCTTAAATTTTATTTGCTATAAAAACTTCACTTAATATTGTACCAAATTTGGCCACTTTAAAAATGAAAAATGTAGTAAAATTAGAAATACTTAAATTATACAAGAAACAGCCCTTTTGATGACGAAAAATGTGATCTGTATTGCTATATGAAAAAGTTAGAGCCAAGGCATATAGATTATATTTGGATGATAAAATCCAATCAGTTTTGTTTCAGGATATTTTCATTTTTAAGTGGGAGGTTTTTGCTTTTATGCTGTATAATAAACTAGGCCAAATTTGCTTTTATGCTGTATAATGAACTAGTCCATTACTAAACTTACATATCAAAATCCATGTTACATTTCCTTTAAGTATTCATTACTTTTTCCTAAGTCTGTTTTTTCTGTGAAAAAGACCTAGAACTTGTAGGTTCTATCCCTGCATAACTTTTGTTTACTTTTTTATGTAACTTCATATTTTCAATCCAAATTCTGTTTTTTTCCTTTTTCCTAAGAATGAATTTTCAGAGAAAAGGACCAACAATTCTAAAAAATATTTTACAGTATAGTTTACAAAGCTGTCACAATCTCTTCTTAAAAACACTGCTGTACTCCACTCACATTTACACCATTTCCTAACATATAATAAGCTTCATTTCTTTTGACTCAGAAGGGAGACATACGTAGCAGTAAAGAAACAAAGGCTGTATGTTCAACTATACTTACTAAGAGCAGCTATTCTACAGATCAGTTTTTTTGGAGCTGAAAGTCTAAAACTTCATATTTCAGAAAAAGAAAAATCTAAGAAAGAATCAGTTCAAATACAAAGCAGAAACACAGTAAGGTGCTGAAACAGTTTTCACTCTGCCACACTCACAGAACAAACAGATTTCTCATATAATCTTTAAGAGGAGGAGTCCTTTAAATGACATTTATGAACAGAATGACACAACCCAATTTCAACTTCTTACTACAATTTCAGAAGTAATTTTCAGCATTTCCTCAAATGTATCTGACATGATAGGAATGTAGACAAGACAAATTTCTCAGAAACTGAAGAGCAAAAGGTACACTGAATAGAACAATTACATAATTTACTGTGTGATAGCTAGAAATTAGACAAAAACATTACTCCTTGGAACAGGAAGATGAGAACCAGTTCAGGACTTCAGAACAGGAATTGCAACTCTGACCTCAAATCAGTACACGGCAGTTCAGAAAAAAGCTTTTACATAAAAAAGACAACCTATGGCCACAACATATTGCTTTAAGCAGTGGAAAAGAATGGAGTAATGGAACAGTGCAAAATTAAAACTAATACCAAATAAAAACCCAAGTTAAACAAAAAAAAATCACTGTCCCAGCAGCTTCTCATAAGAGTAGTTTTAAAAACATCTTTCCTCCCTTAAGCAAAATATGGTGAAAGCAGAAGATCTGTTTGTATCCAAGTATTACTTGTCTGTTTTCCAGAACAGTTAAGTCTGTATAGAGTGCAGTGGACTAAGTTTTTAGGGATTGGGATTCCTCCTGGTCGGCATACTTACAGTAAAGAAGAAACTGAGGCCAGTCCTTAACCAGGATGTCAGGGTAATAAGCAATAGGGGATCAGTGGTGTGCAGAAAGTAAATACAAACAGGCAAGAAGCTGACACATTAACATACCTCTTGTACTGAGCGAGCTGCTGGCTTGTCTTGGTGATTGGCCAGTATTAAAAACGGCAAAGTACATAACTGTGGGTGCTGAAGAGCAGAATGCAGCTCATTCCTAGCAGTTTCTAGATCATCTTCAGAGGAGGCGCTGTCTAGTACAAATATTACCCCTTGGGATCCTTGATAGTAGCGACTCCAGTATTTCCTGATATTATCAGCTCCTTTCAAGACAATAATGAGAACTAATTAAAACAAGAATAGCTTAACAAATGTAACACTTGTAAGTGAAAATAAACCATCTACTTAGAATGATCAAAATAATTAACTAAATTTTCTCTCTTAACCATCATTAAAAGAATAAAAAGAAAAAAAAGTATTCAAAAAATCCAACATACACACACACACACCAATGTCAAATCAACATTGTTTAAATAAGGAAGGAAGTTGACTCAATGCAGCTTTCTTCCATTAAAGCTTCTGCTCTGTTAATGAGTACTGGCAGAACTACCATGCTGACAGTACCACACAGCCTAATCCTTTACCTTCTCACTGGAATATCTTGGCACTAATACCTAAACCTTTACCCATTCTTTTTCACTTTGCCCTGCAGCTCCTTGTCATAAACCTGCAGCTTCTGTCATGGCAGTTGCTCATTTCTGATAAGGTCTTCCAGTTCATCTCCAAACCATCAGGCATCCACTTCATAATTGGGGAAAAAAATTGGCATGTCAGGAAAGCCTATTAAAGTAATTAGATATTTAATGAGGAGAATGATGATACAATAGTGAGTTGAACAGTGAATGAGGAGCTAGGGTGAATGCAAAGGCATTCAGTTCATCTACTTTTGCTCTGTCAACCACACTAAGGATTCTGGAAGAGCCCAACACAGACACATGAGTGACTGTATAGGCTTATATGCCACAGTAGTTTTTAGGACACAGTTCAGCAGCACTCAGCCATCTCAACAGAAGCCAAGCACTAAGGTTATCAACAGAAAGCTTTTGTCTCCCCTGGAGAGCAGCATATGTTGTAGCAATGAGGTAGGAAAAAAAAAATTGTATTTGACAGCTGTCAAACTATCTAAACTATGATTTGGATATGGGCTATTCTTTGTATGTCTGGATCTGGCACTACACTCATGGGGACAAACACTAAACAGTGAACAGTGGCAGCAACAGTCTAGTAGAAAACTTGACATGTCTGCCAGACAATGACTTGCAGAAATGTGCAGAAGGTACCTTTTATAGACACTTTTCTTATTTTGAGACAGGGAGAAGTGAACTTCCATATATACACAAGAACCAAGACCTTGAAATAATAAAATTCCACTTTTCAGTGAAACAAAATGACACAAAATTTCTGAGAAACATAATGAGATTTTAATGTAACATAATGATTGTAACATTAATACAATACTTAAAATATTAACTTAATTTACACATTGTGCAACAAAAAAGACACTCACTAAATACAAGTGAAGGAAGAAATAAAAATTTTCTCCAGGAAATTTACATATGCAACTCAAGAGTATTCAAATCTCACCTAATAGAGTTACTCTTGTCTTTTTACTAGTCACACTGGAACCCTGAACACTTTGTTTCTGTATCTGCACCCAGCACAAGCTGTCAACACAAAAGCACACACACTCTTTCCTACAGAGAATACTGAAGTCATACCTAATAATTTTTTTTCTGCAAAAGATCTACAGAGCTGACTACTTAAATGTGAACAGGCACAGGACTTAGTCAAGACCTTGCTTAATCTCTCTGTTAATTTAACCAGACTCAAAATAAAAATGCCAAACAGGACAGATGTTTTATTTATTTAATCATCAGGATCTGAAGATTAATATTATATATACAGAAGAGGGACTGCATTGAAAGCTAATTCTATGTTTCTGTAGCACACACATATCTGTCAACTGTACTTGTAAAGAATTTTATAGCATCTGTTAGATGCCCCAGTCTTTCTGAACAGCTGTCTACTTCAGAACCAAGTAGAGCAAGCTGCCAGAGGGACACTATTTACACAGCCACACACAGCAGTGTCGCAGGCATCTGAAGTATCACATTACTTTAAAAACTAGTAGAGAATCATTTTCTATTAACTTAAAGACCAAGACCATGATCAGTTCTTTGAACGTTTTTTTTTTTTTCCCCTAGCAACATAACATCTGTCTTATGCGCTCTAAGCATCAGTCAGCTACTTTTCAATCATATGTCACTGCTAGAATCTAAGTCTTACCTTTGTAACCATACTCAGTCTAAAAAGAAAAACTGTGGTAAACTGCAGAGCATTTGACCTCTTGTATCCAGGCACTTGGAAGAAAGCAGCTCATGGATCCCTACATGGGACACTGAAGCCAGAAAAGGAGTATGCTGATTTGTTGAACTTACAGTCCTGTCTTTTTGGCTCAGGTTCTTTAGCAGCTCAACTTTGATCCTCCACATCAGTTGTCCCAAAAGAACCACCACCAAAGTATAGCAGTCCTTTTCTCTCCAGCCCTGGACAGTCACCATGGCATAGGCATAAGAACCAACTTCCCATAAGAACAGAATCCCATGAAACTTGGCATTTTCTTTGGGATCTTCCATTACTCTAATGACATGCCCTGAAATTGCTTACACTTCAGTTCTGAGGAAATCACCTGAGGTTTAAGAATAAAAATAATTTGCACTAAGCAAACAAGGAAAAAACTGATAAAGCATGTACCTTAGGGTGCCATTTTAAACCATTTTTCTGGCAAATGCATTAGAAAAATAAGTCTTGGCATCCATAAGCTATCAGCAGCTGGAAGTCACAATTTCTACAAGACAAATAATCTGATATTCTTTTGCCTTAACTCTTCATATCCAGAGAACAGAATCTGCTCTCAGCTTCTTTCCTCAGAGCAGTGGAGTGGAGTGATCCTGGAGTTATCCTGGGACGGAAATACTTGTCTATGAATAGTGTTTCAGCCATTCACATTTTGTGACATGACAAATTCAGCCTTAGAAAGCAAGCAGTTGTTTTTAGGTGGAGTTCAGCAAAACTGTCTTATTAATTAATTTTTTCATTTATTCTAAAGGTTTCAAAGACATGAAGATGCCTAGTCTGAGGTCTTTGGAAATCCAGAATATAATGTGTATCCATTAAACATCCTTAGGGTCTCAGAAGACTGATGTGATAAAAGCAGGAATTTTACTTAACTAGTACCCAAATCATCCCATCAAACAATAGTAACACACAGAATAAGCACTTAGATTTGTCAGCCTGCTATCATGTGTTTCTCTAACAGCTTTGAACCATATGTCTGTTTCTTCAACCAATAAACTGCCTAAACTAAAACTAAGGAAAAAAAAAAAAATCTCCAAAACTTCAGAAAAACATACTTTACATAAGACCTAAGGAATGTGCTATGTGACAGGTTCATTAAAATGTGACATTAAAGGTAGCAGCTTCCTCAAACACAAGCAAGAGCCACTACTTATGGCTAAGCATATGATTCGTTTCCCTCAGCAATGAAGGAACTTACAGGAGTGGAACTTATAGGAGTGACTGAAATATGCAATTTACAAATAAAATAGGGGGAAAAACCCACCAAAATCCCAACTACAACACAACCACACCATTAATTCTAAAAGAAAAGCTGCTATTCAATCAAACATAGGCTTGAATTACTTTATAACAGGAAAAAAACGGAACCTCCCCTTGTAGAAAAATGACAGGATGCTGCAATTAAAAACCCCAACCATCTAGCATTACTACAGGACAGATTTACTCAACTAATCGTAATTTTAAAGACCTTTATTTTAATATTTTTAAATATCAAATATTTTTTCTTTATCATCAGTCAAAGGAACAGCGTGCCCATATTAACACTGAATTATTTGTATCAGTGTTAACAGTACGCCTTGGGAGCTGGGAGGAAGATTTTGAGTTATGTGCAGTTTAACATGCACCTGAATGAGTACACACAAGTACAAGTACACACTCCTGTAAATATTATGCAAAATACAAAGCTGCAAATCTACCTTTCAGCTATGAATACTTCTATTTACATCTTCATTCACAGTGGTGGTTTGAGGCTACCTTCAATTCCCTTCTTTTCAGTACTTTCAGGAGAACAGAAGTGTTACAGAAAAAATTCACTGAAAGAAATTTGCATGTATCAAATTTGTTACTTGTCAGACTTGCAGCAACTCTGCATGGAGAGCACAATGAATGTAACAGAGCCCATGCTTTAACACAGTCTAGTCTGCAAATTAAAGTTCTTGTTAACCTCAAAATACATCACAGGTCTGGAGAAGTTATAGTCCCAAATAGAGAGGAAAAACTTTTTTTCCCTTCCCATCAAAAACAGTTAACATGGGCACATGAAAGAATGCAGGCTGCAAACAGCTTTTCTACAACTTTAAATATATCATCCATGCACCTACATACTCTGAAGGTTTTATAGTTAATTAATATATTATATAGATCTTTCCTCTACTGATATTAAACAGAACATTTCTAACAAGCATAAAGGTGAAAAAATGCCAAGGACTCTACCACAAAATCTTTTGGTGTGCAACACTGGCTATGGGTGGGGGAGTAAGAAAGAAGGGAAGGGAAAAACAAATCTCTTATCCATTCTTGGCAAAATTTCTAATATACCCTAGTCTCTTACCCTAAGAAAATCTTAGGAAAATACATGTTTCTAAATATATGTAGGGCTAATACCTTCACTTCACATCATATCCTCACAAGTAAAACTGATGTATTTTCCTGAGTAGTCAAGAACATGCCTTAGAAATCCTAACACGTTCAAGAGATGTGGCTGCTCCTTATCTGTCTTGGGCAGGTTTCCCAGTATTCCACCCTTGAATAAATCCTGTATACAGTAGCAGGTTTTTTGTTGGTTGTTTGTTGGGTTTCTTTTTAATGTGCTGGCTCCTTTCTATGACACACAAATGTATAAATCCTGTTTAAGATACCTGCTATGAATCTACATGGAATTTGTCCCATCTAACAGAGACATCCACAAAGAGATAAAAACATTTTTGCTGGTGTCATGTCAGTCATCATTCCATGGCTACTTTGTATGGCTGCTGCAACAACACAGATGCTAAACCAAAACCTTCTCCCATTTTCAAAAGTCCCAGGACTTCTGCTTCCTCGGGTATAAGTGATCACAGCCTACTTTCTCTAGACTTTCAGGCAGTGTACTCCTGCAATGCACAATACATGGCAGTGGGAAATC